TTTTTTAATTAATTAAATTATAATAATTTAATTAATTATAAAACTTGTCCCTCTTTTTATTTTTATTCCTCTCAATTTAAACATAAGGTTAGTATTTCAATAAATGTATTTTTCTAGCTCATTTGTGCACGGGTAAATGAACAAAAAAAAAGTGACATGTATTTTAAAAAAACTTATTAATTAAATTGATACTTATAAAAGTAAAAATACAAATTTAAAAAAATTAATAGATTAAAAATTTATTAACTACATATTTTTTATTAATTGTTATAAAAAATATAAATTAACTTAAATTTTATTAATCACCTTATTAAAATAAAATAGTACATATGTTTTTAGTATTGAAAATAAAATTAAGTTTAAGATAATTAATAAAAAATATAATTAATATACTCTTAATCTGTAATAAATACAAATTAATTAAACCTCATTTTTAAAATAAAATAGTACATATGTTTTTAGTATTGAAAATAAAATTAAGTTTAAGATAATTAATAAAAAATATAATTAATATACTCTTAATATGTAATAATTACAAATTAATTAAACCTCATTTTTAAATTAAAAAATAAATTAGGGATAACTTTTTATATAATTTTTTTTTATAATTTTACATATCATTTAAATTATGGACTCTTTTTATTCATTTAAGATATATGATATTAAATATATTTACTTATTTAATAATATGTAAAAATTATAAAAAAAAATAAAAAATTATTCTTATATCACTTTCCTTTTAATTAACATTAATATTTTTACATTTTTAGAGCTAAACAACATCCTCACCTAAAAGGCTATTGCATTGCAAATATACAGAGTGTTTGATATTATTATGAAGTGTTATAATTGTAATTGTACTATAGTTATGCTGTGATTGTGGTTATACTATAATTGTAACTGAAAATTATTTTGATATTTAGTTATTTATTTATTAAAAGTATTACAAATAAAATATGATAGATTTTATTTATTATTAATTAAAATTTTAAAAGCATTATAAGACGTATAATTATTAAAATAGATAATATTTATTTTTTTAATAATTTAAGTTTTTAAAATTTGTTAT